ATAATATTTATCGAAAAAGTTAACGGATAATCATATTCATTAAGGATAAAGTAAGAAGTCTTTAAGGAAAAATTAAAATCTGATCAATCTGAGTCATTCATTTGATTAAAAAATTTGACCCGCATTTTTTCTACCCATTATAGACTTAACTCTCTTGGGCTCTTATTAGTATAGTAGATAGTAGATAAGAAGTTTGTTATTATGGTATTAAATTTTGTAAGTTAATCCCATTTTAATGCAATTTAAAATTAGTTACTGAGTAAATTTCAATTTTGGTCCTGTGACTATTGGGGTCTTGTTAATTGCAATCCAGGACTTTTAAAACTGTTAAGAGTTAATTCCCAAAGTGGTCCTCCGACTATGATATTTTCTCAAATTGGTTCATTGACTTTTAATTGCACCCAAAGTGGTCCTTCGACTATTGACTTTTAAGCTAAAATGGTCATCCTCTGATAGTTTTGGTGTTAAGTGAGTGTTTAAATGATGGGTAAAATTGGCAATTCAGTGTTTTACTATAGTCAGAGAACTACTTTTGGTGCAATTAAAAGTCAAATGATCAATTTGAACTATCTAGTTAATATTTTAAAAGAAAATTTCATTTTAATGAACTATCTAGTTAATATAATCTAAAAGTTTCAGTTGTGTATTATCGTATTTAAATTAATATAAAATACTTAGAGTTGATGTAATTAAATTAAAAAGTATTTATGAATATAATATTAATAGCGATGATATATAATTTGTTCCAACCATTTCATATTTATTATAAATATTCTTTTATAACGTTTTGAAGTTTTTTTTTCTCCGCCTCCACTGACCAACATTTTATGTTCTGCCCCTATAAACTAATATTGTATTTTTGTAATAGATAATGATTTTTTTTAGGTAAAATCGCACTTTTTGTCCCTTCATTAGTACCTCATTTGCAATGTTATCCTTGCTTTCCAATTTGAACAGATTTGGTCCCTCAATTAGTCCGACGTTAGTCAATTTAATCCTTCTGTTAGTTAATCATCCTAAACTCCATTTACAGCACAGATATTATAGGAATTTCACTTAGCATTGATTATATCAACCCCATTTCTTCCCGTTCCTCCGCCCGGTCTGCCATTTCCTCCAAAGATCAGGCTCCTTCTTCTAAGCCAATACAGCTCGACTATCGCTAACATACATAAACATCCTTTTCCCTGAGCCCATTGAAGATTTTGGCTTTCTAGCGAGTCATCATCTTCCAAGATGCGCACTCGCTGCTCAGATTATCACTACTTATTGTTAACTCGTTCTGCTTCTCAGACCCAACGACCCAATCGGGTTCTTTGATATAAACTGACCCTTTAATCGGAGCTACTGTTGAGTTTTTCCCCTGCTTATGGTTTTCGAGATGGATTGTTGGAGAACCCGAATCAATTTCCCTTTCGTGATCTAGATAGGAATGCAAAACCTCCATGCGAGAAGCTCTGGAGGAACTGATAGGAAGAACCATTCTCGAGAGGACTGAAAAATATCCCCCGATCGAGGGGTCCCGCGCTTTATCGGATCGGAGCTCTATATGAAGCCAGAGCCCAGCAGCAGGCCGGAGTGGCTTCAGTTTCTGGGGATTGGCTGCAGAGGGATGGAGGCAAAGGAGGTGGAACTCTCGAAGGTATAAGAGCGATCGTTGCTATTGTACGAATAGATGTCGACGAAGGCGGTGGAGAGCGGTGTCGAGGTGTTCGCACTAACAGAGGCGTCGAAAATTGATCGGAACGTTGTTGTTTCCTCCGAGTGAACCTTAGACGACAGTTGCGCCACGTCGGGAACATAGCAGAAGAATGACCCAAGTCATCTAACGGGTCCAATATCACCACTTGGAAATCCTTCCGCCGCCACGCTTCCATGGCGGCATCGCCGCCCATGAAGCAAACGCTTAGTTTACCAACACCGTTCCCCATATTATAGAAACAAAAACAAAACCTCCCAGTCCGAGGTTAATAACAAATCAAAGAAATGAAGTAACTTTCGATTATTTCTGTCAAAACCCACCAAAGCTCAGACGCCCATTTCTCTAAAAAATGGCAATTTACTAATTTCTGAATTCTCGAGTGTGAAGCTAAGATGAAGAAGGAGAAGAGAGAGAAGGGGGTTGGGGTGGAGTTAACTTTTGAGTGGGGGTGTTTTCTTTAATAAAAAAATAAAAAATAAAAGCACAGCATAAACTTTTTATTTTTACATTTTCGGTTATGTGAAATTCCTATAATACTCATGCTGTAAACGGAGTTTAGGATGATTAACTAACAGAAGGACTAAATTGATTAACGTCGGACTAATTGAGGGACGAAATCTGTTCAAATTGGAAAGTAAGGATAACATTGCAAATCGGGTACTAATTGAGGGACCAAAAGTACGATTTCCCCTTTTTTGTTATTATCTTTCTTATCCGTTTGTATTTAATTGTTATTTTTTTCTTTTTTTTTTTAATAAGTAATGGTTTATGTGTGTTTCCATTTAGTTGTAATTTTTCACAATAGTTTTGTCATTATATGTATGCCTATATATGATCATAGAAAATCAAAAGTTAATGTTAATTTGTACAACTATATATAAGTACTAGGCTAATAATCAAAATTATTATTCTAAGTTATTTCTTAATAAGAAATAACTTTGTAATAGAATTACGTTCATGTTTAAAAAACAAAAAAAAAAAAAAAAAAAAAAAAAAAAAAAAACAAAACAAAACAAAAACCAAAATCTAAAACAAAAAAAAAAAAAAACAAAAAAAACAAAAAAAAAATACAATTTTTTAACTTTCCCAAACAGATTAAGACTATTTTCTAACTTTTAGACAAATACCTGAAAATAAAAGTATCTATCGAAAAAATAAATCATTTTTCATAAAATATTTTCTATGCTTCCAAAATTTGGATTTTCAATATTAAAATTTAAAAGGGAAAATGGCACTTTTCCTCCCTAAATTATATACTTATAACACTGTTTCCCCCTCAATTATTTATGTAAGCACATTAGCCCCCTCAATTATTTTAAAAGTGGTGTTTTTCCCCTAAATATATTAAATTGACATTTCTACCCTTAAAGCAAACATTTTATTTATTTTACTTCTCCAACAAATTATTGCGTATATGTAGCGATTACCATGGTTCGGTTCGAACTGAACCAGACACTATAGCAATCGAATTAAAAGTTTTCAGTTATGATTAAGATCTAGAACCCAATATTTGGATTTCAATTTATTAAATTTAAGAATTAAAAAAAAAACGGGATCATGAACCGTGAACTGGCGGTTCCGGATCCAGTTCGCGATTTTGAACCGTCTTTATTTTAAAATTTTATTTTATATTTTAAAATAGTCTAAATTCAACAATAAATGTATTTATTTTTTCAGTTCAAAACATGAACCGGCCATTCCGGTTAGCGATTTTAATAAACTCTAAATATCGCGTTTTGATTATAAATTGTAATTGGAATATTTTGGTTTGGTTGCTATAGTATCTGTTTGGTTTGAACCAAATTATAGTAATAATTTGTTGGAGAATAAAAATAAATGAAATATTAATTTTAAATATTTATTTTAAAGGTAAATATGTCCATTTAACCACATGCTAGTGTGGCAACCGGTGAGGGGTGTACAGGTTACGGAGATCCAACCAGGTTTATTCCTTTTTGTTTTCTTTCACAAAACGGATGTGGATTATGTGTTGGATGGGGGACCGTGGGCTTTCGAGAACAACACGCTAGTGTGCCGCGAGGTGATAGGGGGGGGCGGTACCGTGTGAGGTGCCACTGAACAGTGTTGACATGTGGGTTCAATTGCATGAGTTACCGATGGGCTATACATCACATACGGTCCTTGAGCAGGCGGGGAATTTTATTGGAAAGTTTGTGAAACATGATGATAGGTTTGCGGGAGCACCTTGGTTGACCTTTTATTGTATTCGGGTATCGATTGAGGTAGATAAGCCACTGCGGAGGCGTATGAAACTCGTTAAAAGGGACAAGACTACGTGTTGGGTGCACTTTAAATATGAACGTTTGCACAAGTTTTGCTTTTTCTGTGGCCTTATGGGACATGTGCATACCTTTTGTATAAGGGCAAGAGAGAGTACGTTTAATGGTGGAGAAATGCTTGTATGGGGTTGAGATGAGAGCGGGAGGAAATCGGGGGGCTACAAGGGAGATTGGTGGAAGTTGGCTGGTGCCTGTAGGGGGGAAACCGCTACCGTTGCCGAAATTTGTGGTGGGTGGTGGCCGTGAGGGTGAGGGGGAGGGAGTTGATGAGGGGGTAGTGGATCATGGGGAACCGGCAAGCAAGAGTGTCACGGCGTCGGCAAAACGCCGTCGGGAGGGGGCTGGGGTGGAAGGCCGAAGGGGCCGGGGTGAGGATGTTGCAATGGTGGATGTGTCAAAAAACTTGTGTGCAGCGGGACTTGGATTACAGTCCCGCCCGTTCTCATGAATACGCTAAGTTGGAACTGTCGTGGCTTGGGCAATCCACGCACAGTTCAAGAAGTTGTGGACATTGTGTCCCGAAAGAAGCCTGAATTTATTTTTTTAATGGAGACTATGGTGGAATGAGTTCATGCGGATAGACTTCGTGTCACGATTGGCTATGAGGGGTTGTTTTACGTGGATAATGATGGTTTAAGTGGTGGTCTTGCGTTGTTCTAGAGGAAAAATAACACGGCTACGTTGTTGAGTTACTCTAAGAACCATGTGGATGTGGAAGTTAGAACATGAGATAAGCAGTGGCGTATGACATGCTTCTATGGTCCGTCGCAGAGGCATAGAAGACAGGAATCTTGGGATATGCTGACAAACCTGAGAGGAAGATCCCAATTACCGTGGGTGGTGGTGGGAGATTTTAATGATCTCCTATATCAGTGTGAGAAAAGGGGGGGGGGGGGGGGGCGGGGGGGGGGGGGGGGGGGGGGGGGAATCCGCACCCGCCTAGGCTCCTGCGGGGGTTTTGGGAAACCCTAGATAATTGTGGCTTAATGCAATTACCCATGAGGGGTCACCAGTTTACGTGGGAGAAGAGTAGAGGAAAGAGTAACCGGCTTGAGGAGAGACTGGATAAAGTGCTGGCAACGGCTGAGTGGTGTGGACTGAATGGGCAGGCAGGGGTGGAGAATATTCTGACACGTAAATCTGATCACTCGATTCTTTTCCTCAGTATTGATGCAATACGCGTCCATGAGAGAAGGGGACCAAGGGGTTTTAAGTTTGAAATGGCATGGCTTCAGGATACGGGGTGTAGGGATGTGGTGGAATCAGCCTGGCAGAGTGGGAAAGATGAGGGACTGTTGAATTGTCAGCAGTATTGTAGGGAGAGGTTGATGAGGTGGGGGAGAGATCGTTTCCATCAGTCTGGTCGCCGCATCAGTGAGTTAAAGAAGAGACAGGGGGCTATCAGGAATAGGCGGGATCCGGCGGCCTTGGCCGAGATCCAGACGATTGATGATCAACTTGCCTGCCTAATTAAAAGCCCAAGAGGATGTGTTTTAGAGGCAGCGGGCGAAGCAGCATTGGCTTAGTGGCGCGGATGCAAACACAAAATTTTACCACAGGTTTGCCTCTACACGTAAAAAGAAAAATTCTGTTACTAAGATTATGAATAATGCTGGGGTGTGGGTAGAAGGAGATGTTATGTGCACTGTTATATTGGATTATTTTAAATCTATATTTGCCTCTGAATTCTCGTATGGAGACGATCCGATTTTTTATGAGTTTGAACCCCGAATTACGAATGATCAGAATGTAGCGTTGTTGCGTCCTTTTAACTCTGAGGAGGTGAAAGAGGCGTTAGCATCAATGTATCCTGACAAGGCTCCGGGCCCGGATGGAATGAATCCGGGTTTTTATCAGAATTTCTGGGATGTAGTTGGGGGAGATGTTTCTGGTTTTATAACTAATTGCTTGAATGGGTGTGAATTCCCGGAGGGATTAAATGATACAAACATTGTTGTTAGGAATATATTGTAATAGTTTTGATATGCCAAATTGTATTTTAGAATCCCCAATTTTATTTGTTAAGTCTAGGCGTGTCATAGACCATGAAAGGAAAATTAACAAATATGAAGAAAGGGAAAAATACGAAGAAGAAGATCTATGCATATGATATGTATACTAAAATAAGCCCACACGCCCAACTCAAAGAAGAAGTCATACTGATGAATCTCATACGAAGAAACGAGAAGCAAATCAAAATTCATGAAGTTATCTTGAAGATCAAGCATCTATGGAAAGAAAGAAGTACATCAAGAGGAATGTTATAATGATGAATAATTTGTATAGTTGAGATGGATGAAAGCTTGATGTATAAGCCGTAAGGTCTTAGGTTCAAAACTCACTCCCTACAATTTTAGGGAGATGAAGTAGGAGCTGAGGTTCGAAACTAAGAAGTTTCGAAATTAATTCAAGTAATTTGAAATTAAGAAGGAGATGAATTCAAGTAGGTGGTTCAAAATCACGATCAATTCCTTTTTCAAATCCGGCTGCAGCTGCACGAGCCCTTCCCGCGTGCCACAAATGACCTACGAAGAAGAAGAATCCTAGAACACTAGGAGATGTTCAAAAGAGGATTCGAATTAATTCAAGCAGGTTTCAAAAGAGGATACTTGAAACTAAGAAGGAGAAGGAGGTTTCAAAAGATGATTCGAATTAATTCAAGTAATTTGAAATAGTAGGTTTCAAAAGAGGATTCGAATTAATTCAAGTAATTTGAAACTAAGAAGGAGAAGGAGAAAGAGGATTCGAATTAATTCAAGTAGGTTTCAACAGAGGATACTTGAAACTAAGAAGGAGAAGGAGATGAAGTAGGAGCTGAGGTTTCTAAATCAATTAAAACGTTTCGAATCAACTTGAACTTGGAGACAAGGTAAGAGCAGCGATTGGATTAATAGAACTTGAACTTGGAGACAAGGTAAGAGCAGCGGTTGGAGCTGAGGTTTCAAAAGAGGATTCGAGACTAAGTTGGAGCAAGGAGACAAGTCAGAGGATTCGAGACTAAGTTGGAGCAAGGAGAGAAGAGGATTCAAGACTAAGTTGGAGCAAGCAAGGAGAGAAGAGGATTCGAGGCAAGCAAGGAGAGAAGAGGATTCGAGACTAAGTTGGAGCAAGGAGACAAGTCAAGTCTTCATAAGTCAAGACAATATGAAGTATGAGCTGAAGTTAGAGAAATCAATTAAATAATATGCGGTTTGCAAAGTCAAGTAGAACTTGGAGACAAGGTAAGAGCAGCGGTTGGAGCAAGGTTTCCTGCAAAGTCAAGTCTTCATAAGTCAAGATAATATGAAGTATGAGCTGAAGTTAGAGAAATCCTGCAAAGTCAAGTCTTCATAAGTCAAGACAATATGAAGTATGATCTGAAGTTAGAGAAATCAATTAAATAATATGCGGTTTGCAAAGTCAAGTCTTCATAAGTTAAGTCAATATGAAGTATGAGCTGAAGTTCAAAGAGATGAAGTTAGAGATGCGGTTTGCAAAGTCAAGTCTTCATAAGTCAAGTCAACATGAAGTATGAGCTGAAGTTAGAGATGCAGTTTGCAAGAGATGAAGTTAGAGATGCGGTTTGCAAAGTCAAGTCTTCATAAGTCAAGTCAATATGAAGTTAGAGATGCGGTTTGCAAAGTCAAGTAGATGAAGTAAGAGATGAAGTTAGAGATGCGGTTTGCAAAGTCAAGTCTTCATAAGTCAAGTCAATATGAAGTATGAGCTGAAGTTAGAGATGCAGTTTGCAAGAGATGAAGTTAGAGATGCGGTTTGTAAAGTCAAGTCTTCATAAGTCAAGTCAATATGAAGTATGAGCTGAAGTTAGAGATGAAGTTAGAGATGCAGTTTGCAAGTCAAAAGTCAAAGAGATGAAGTCTCATCAAGCTATATATAGTAAGAGCTGAAATTGGAGATGAAGTTCCAAAGCCACATATAGTAAGAGCTGAAGTTGGAGATGAAGTTCCAAAGCCACATATAGTAAGAGCTGAAGTTGGAGATGAAGTTCCAAAGCTATATATATAGTAAGAGCTGAAGTTGGAGATTAAGTTTCAATCAAGGATTGAATTCTCACCATCAAAATGAGACCCAGATCAAGAGATCTCATTGGCCGAAACACTTCATCAGTAGCCATACAGAGAGAATAAAATACACAGAAGATGAAAGTCTCAGAAGGCGCATGACATCAGAATTATTTTAAAGCCCTTCACGTGAAGATAAGATCTGCATCAGAAATATTTTAAGTCTCTTCACATGGACCAAGAGCTAAGCAACAGCCAAAATATCAGAGATATTATTTTTTATATGATTTTCTGAGAAAGCTACAGATCTTCTACAAAAAGCTACAAGAATTCAAATCTGAGATTTGGAATTCAAATTTGAGATCTACAATTCAAATTTGGGATTGTTTCCAACGGACAACTTCTCAAGACCAGCTATAAAAGGATGAAGAATGAAGCAGATCAACTAACTTCCAACGAACCAAAAACGTGAGATCATACAAATCCAATCTGCTTGAAAAAGCTTACAAGTGAGAATATATTCAAAGTGAGAAAAACACTCAGAGTGCTCAAAGAGAAAATATTCAAGAGTGTTTTAATTCTTCATCATTGAGAGACTTGCTGCATATTGAAGATCCATTCAAGAAGTCTAAAAGATGGAAAGTCAGTGAAACTTGTTTTTCTATAAACAAGTGAATCAACAGTGTTGGAGAACACTAGACGTGATTAGTACGGGCTTTGTGATCAAAGCACTAGATCACGGGATACGTGGAAGACGGGGGGGAAAGTAGCACGGAGTTGTGAAATCCTGGATTATCACACGGAGCTGTGAGATCCAAAGCAGCAGTGTCGGAGGCACTGGGCGTGATTGGTGTGGGCTTGGTGATCAAAGCACCAGATCACGGGATACGTCGACCGGATCATGGAAGATGGGGGGAAAGTAGCACGGAGCTGTGAAATCCTGGAAAGTAACACGGAGCTGTAAAATCCGAAGCAGCAGTGTTGGAGGCACTGGGCGTGATTAGTGTGGGCTTAGTGATCAAAGCACTAGATCACGGAAATTCATTGTATCTAGGAACCAAGAAGTGGTGGATATAGTGAATTGCTCTTGGACGATAAGAGCAAGTGGAGTAGGGGGATTACATCACCTCCAAACCACTATAAATTGCCTTGTGTCATTTACTGCTTTATTTACTTACTGTTTATCACGTTGATATACTTGACACAATCACACAAGTCGTATTTATTTATTCCGCTGCGTACAAGACTCTAACAATCTAGTTAAGAGTCTTGATCTCTCTGTTGCCTTAGCAATTGTTGCATTCGCGAAAAGTTTAAAAGTCTATTCACACCCCCCCCCCCCCCCCTCTAGACTTTTACCACACCCCTTTGGGACCAACAATTGTGCTGATTCCAAACAAAAGTGTGCCTCAAACGGTGGCTGATATGAGACCAATAGCACTGAGCAATGTCATTTATAGAATCATGGCCAAAATGATCGCGAATAGAATGAAACCACTGATGGGAGATTTGATCTCGGAATCCCAAAGTGCTTTCATTCCAGGAAGGCTAATCACGGATAATATTATGGTGGCAGCGGAGGTGGGGCACTTTTTGAATAGAAATCAATGCGGACAGGCTGGATGGGGGGCCCTGAAATTGGATATGTCAAAAGCGTATGATAGAATGGAGTGGCCATTCTTGGAAAAGATGCTGGGTGTCATGGGATTTGATCAACAATGGATAAAGCTAATCATGTTGTGTGTGACGACTGTGAAATACACGATCATGGTGAATGGGAGTGTGGGAGGTAACGTGATACCCACACGGGGTCTCAGGCAGGGAGATTCTTTATCGCCTTATTTGTTTATTATATGTGCAGAGGGGCTCTCTATGTTATTACAGAAGGCACAAAGGGAAGGAGCTATACATGGTTGTAGGGTGGCTAGAGGAGCACCCCCAGTATCACATCTGTTTTTTGCGAATGATAGTCTTTTGTTTTTCAAGGAAAATATTCAGGAGGCCAGTGTAATCAAACAGTGTTTGATTCGTTATGAGAAATTGTCAGGCCAGATGGTAAACTTTTATAAATCAAGTATTTGTTTTAGCAGAAATACTCAGGGGGTGATAAGGGGGGAGGTAGCAACGTGTCTTGAGGTGGAGCAGGCACCGAATTTTGGCAAGTATCTTGGCTTGCCATCGTTTGTAGGAAGGAACCAAAGGGCTGTCTTTTCATATGTGGAAGACAAGATCAGGCAGAGGATAAGCTCATGGAACAAGAAATTACTATCTCAGGCTGGTAAGGAAATACTTTTGAAAAGTGTAGCACAATCTATGCCTACATTCACCATGAGTTATTTTTTGCTTCCTGAATCTGTCTGTATGTCGATTGGGAGGATAATGAATAGATATTGGTGGGGAAGTGGCACAGAAAGGGGTATACACTGGAAAGCATGGGATAAACTATGTATCCCGAAGAAATATGGAGGTTTGGGTTTTAAGGACCTAAAGGCTTTTAATTTGGCCATGCTAGGGAAGCAGGCATGGCGATTACTAACAAATCCCACTACTCTGGCGGCAAGGATTTATAAGGCTCGTTATTACCCTACTACTTCTTTTATTGATGCAAAGGTGGGTAGCTGCCCGAGTTATTGTTGGAGGAGTATAATGGCAGCGCATGGAATGGTTTGTGCAGGTGTGCGTAGAAGAATTGGTAATGGCAGAACAACTTTAATATGGGGACATCCCTGGCTACCAGATAATCCCAGTCCACTGGTCCAGACTGTTATGCCTGAGGAGTTAAGAAATGCACATGTATCTAGCCTGATTGATCACCACACTAAAACCTGGGATCCTCATATTTTAACAGATTTATTTGACCCGGAGGATGTGGCACGTATTTCTATGATCCCAGTGAGTCCGGACTATGAGGACACATGGTTCTGGTTTAAGGAACCAACAGGAATCTATACTGTCAAGAATGCTTATAGGCAGATAGTGGGTGATTATGAGCATAACCCAGGGGCTTTTGATAAATGGGTTAAATTATGGAAGTTGAAAATACCTCCCAAATGGAAAACTTTTTTGTGGCGAGCGCTATGTGACATTCTCCCCACCACGAATAATTTAATTATGAAAAGAGTTGAAGTGGAGCCTACGTATCCAATGTATGGTTTATATGATGAAAATGATATGCATGCCTTGTTTATGTGTGATTTTTCGAGAATGGTGTGGGGTATGTCGGGGTTACCTGTGGTTAATATTGTGACAGATTCTTTGGTTGTCCGGCTTATGAGAATTTTTAATGCTTTAACAGACGAACAGTGTGGCCTAGCAATTTCCATTCTCTACAACATATGGAATGCTCAGAATACCGCTGTATGGGATCATTCTCTGCCACGCCTGCGCAGGTTGCCCGGCGTGCGGTTGCTGCCGACCGACAGTACCGCCAGGTTCATCATCGGGCTGCAACGCTGGAGTCTGCCTCACCACCTGCGGCAAACGGAGATGGACGGGTGAAGTGTTATATAGATGCAGGATAAAGACACGGTACCGGAGAGGCTACATATGCGGCGGTATTATTCTCTCAACACAGTACTTTTACGGCCGCGACAAGTGGAAGGTTACCCGGAGCCTTTTCACCTATGATGGCGGAGGCATTGGCATGCAAGGAAGTCCTATCATGGCTAAAGGACCGGGACGTTCACACAGTAGACCTACTCACGGATTGTTCAGAATTGCGGAGTGCTGTATACTCAAGATCTACGCCCATGCTATTCTATGTTGGGATAGTAGTGGATCAGTGTAGGACAGCTATATCTTTATTTCATTATTGTTCGTTAAGTTATGTTTCTTGAACTTTAAATTTACATGCTCATACTTTAGCATCACTAGCTTTTGATCAGGAACAACCTATGTACTAGGATTCGATCCCTCCTGACACTATCGTTCAGTTCATTTAATACTATATCGCAGATATATTTTTCAAAAAAAAATGTCCATTTAACATTTCAGGGAAAAAAAGAATCACTTAAATAATTCAGGGAGAAAAAATGCTATAAGAATATAACTTAAGGGAAAAAAGTGTCATTTTCTCAATTTAAAAACGTGTATTCCCTCTCCCGCCCGACTTCTCCTATTTAACCGGCGGGACCATCATTATGGTAGGTATAGCATTGTGAAACTTTTGTTTATATATTGATAACCTACTTCTCCCAGTCGTAGGTTTCCATATTTTATAACCTATTAATAACAGAATAGAACCACTAACTGTTGAATTAAATTCTCCTACCAAACTAATACGGAGTAAATATTACTAAATGTTTAACAATTTTTTAAAATATAAAAATAAAAATACTTATAAGGTATAGATATATTTAAACAGCTAATAATAATAATAATATTTAATTAGTTGACTTGAAATTTGCTTCATTTCAAATAGCCTAAGGTCCATGCACCTTTAAATTCCTTTGGGATAGCTAGGCTGGTAGGTAATATGTAAATCTTTCAATAAAACCTTTAATTTGCATGGGAAGTCGATCTCTGTCAAATTTTACAGTTAACCATGGTCCAAAATGATGTGAACCATGGTCTAAAATGGTGTCGTTTCATTTAATGAAAAGAAACGACACTCGCCGTGTAATTAGTTATGTTTTTATAACATATTCAGTTTCATTTTATAAACATTGTAGTTTTATTTCAGCACAACTAAAGTTTCATTTTGTTTCAGCTACAGTTTCATTTAACATTATACATACAGTAGTCTTTTTACAATGAGACTTGTTATTGAATTTCATTCTATACACATTGTAGTCTTGTTACAACACCATTAGACTATAATTCTAATTCAACTACAATTTCATTGGACAATATACACTCAAATATGTGAAACTGTTATTCAGTTTCATTTTTTATACACTGTAGTTTCATTACTACACAACTAAAGTATCATTTTGATATAACTACAGTTTCATTTGACAATATACACTCAATATGTGAGACATGCTATTCAGTTTCTTTTTATACATACTATAGTTTCATTTCAAGTAAACTAAAGTATCATTTCAAATCAACTACAGTTTTATTTGACAATATACACTTAATATGTGAGACATGTTATTCAGTTTCATTTTATACATACTGCAGTTTCATTTCAACACAACTAAAATATCATTTCAATTCAATTACAGTTTCATTTGATAATATAAACATAATATGCGAGACAAGTTATTTAGTTTTTCATTTTGTTCTGAACACACTAAAAATACAAAATTTATTAAAATTTAACGACTGTCGTTTCTTTACTTAAAGAAACAGTGCTGTTTTCGAACCATGGTCCATCCTATAACAATTGTCGATCTCTCCACCAAAATATATGTGTAAATAAATAAATAAAAGTAAAATAGATCACAAAACATATACATTCAAGTATAGCTATTTGAATTAGTATATAAATAAATAGGCACCTTCCCCGTTTTGAATCTGACATATCTTCTAAAAAAAAAAAAAAAAACTTAACAAAGCATTTACAGCTATCAGCTAACAATCATTTACTAACTAGTTATACCATCTAATTAACTCAATCAGCTAACAGCTAACAGCCATTCACCAACTAGTTATATTATCTAATTAAATCAATCAGCTAACAACTAACAGCTATTAGCTAACAGTCATTTACCAAACAAGGTCATTACCTTTCACATTATCATGAAAGGAGCTCACTTGTTGGGATGAGAATAGCCTAATTAATAACGTCTAAAAAAAATAGTTAAATTTATTAGCAAGATAAAATGCCTTAGGATTTAAATAAATAGAACATGAGGGTAGCCACCTGACGTATGTGATTATGTGATACAAAAATATTTGTTGGAAATTTTTAGCAAAAATAATATTTTAAGTCGGGTCAAAGTGAATTTAGTTTTTTTTTTTTTTAAATAAGACTAAGAAATTGATATATTGTACGCTCAAAATAGAAAATGGGTGAATGAGAAATTGATTCTCAAAGTAAACCCATTTGAGTTGGAAAATAATGGAGATGGGAAGACTTGAAAGTAGCCTTTGTCTCACATTAGAATGAGCCTAAAAAGGCTTGACTCGTGTGCACCCACGACATGCGTACACGATTGGCGTAACTTTGCGGTTTTACAAGAAAATCATATCATTTGTCCGTGTTTCTTCTCACAAGGGGGAGTATGTAGCCAAGGTCTTAGAGATCTATTTGATTTAGTGAGAAATCTGAAATGTCTTTATTGTCACTGTAAACAATGCCTCTTTCAATGATACTGCTGATTTTTTTAAAAGCAAATTGTTGTCTTGAGGTACAACCTCTGTTAGGAGTCACTATATGCACATGAAGTGAATAGCCCACATATTGAACACGGTGGTGAAGAATGGGCTAAAATTTTCCGATAATTCTATTAAGAGGGTTAGGGATGCTGTGAGATGGGTTAGGAACTCGCATGCAAGGCTCAAAAAATTTAGAGATCGTGCTGATCTTATTGGGATGGAAGCAAAATGTGCTTTACAACTAGATGTTCTAACAAGATGGAATAGCACCTACATTATGTTTAACACTGTCATACAATACAAGAAGGTGTTTGAAGCATATGAGGAGAATGATGCCTCATTTTCTACTGATCTAGCTAATTTTGTTCCTTCTTATCTTAATTGGTGTTCCATGGAAAGTTTGGTAATTCTGCTTAAAAGCATTTATTAGATGACAATGAGAATATCTGGTTCTCTTTATGTCACCTGATGGATCTCAGCGCTGCACTATGCTAATTACTTTCCAGTGGATCACCCTTCATGTAACTGTTATATGTCAAACACGCTTAACAACAGAGTTCTTTGACTATTTGGTTGTCATATCCTACTTAAAACCAATTGCTGATAAGTAGGTGGACATTAACCATTTAACCACATCCCTCTATTTGGTTGTCATATCCTACTTAAAACCAATTGCTGATAAGTAGGGGCTGAACTCAGCCAACCTGGCCGACCCCCAACAATCCCCCTCCCAGCACATGTCACAACCTTTGAATACGAAGCCTAGTTGCGTAGCATGCCTGACTAGGTCCTTAGCCTATGCGCCAATCATCCCCCTCCAAATAAAGACTGGACTTGCCCCAACCTACGCCCGCATCCCATCTAGGACTAGAATCGGCTTTCGCCTCGCCATCGATTCAAACCTGTGACCTCGGCTCTGATACCAATTGATGGATCTTAGCGGTGCACTATGCCCTCCTGTGACTGTTGTAAGTCAAGCATGCTTAACCACATAGTTCTTTGGCTATCTAGTTGTATCTTACTTAAAACCAAATGGTGAAAAGTAAGTGGACATTAACCATTTAACCACATCACTCTATTATAAGTCACAGTGCCACGTCTCGAATCGAGTAGGGGCTGACTCGGCCAACGGCCAACAATCTCCCTCTCAGCACCTGCCGCAACCTTAGAACACCAAAGCCAGTTGCGCAGCATGCCTTACTCGGTCCTTAGCCTACGCGCCCACCATTCCTAGCAACACCTGCCGCAACCTTTGAACATCAAGCCCAGTTGCGAAGCATAATTGACTCAGACCTTAGCCGATAATATCTTTGGATTACATCACAGTTGTTCACTTTAAAGGTAAATCACATTTCTTTATTAAGATGATTTAAAATGTATTAATTTTTACTACATTTTCTAATTTTATTCTTAAATACACTAGTAATTTCTCTATCCACAAGAACTCATACAACAATAATGGCTCAACCAAAAATACCTCGAGCATAACACCTAAAGGATAGTTGGAATTTTAGAATGCAGCTTTTGTCGGAATTTTAAATATGTATATGCAATATATTGTACATCATATATCACACTCAGTGTAACCAAACTACTTAATAATGCGAGTTAACTTGCACCACATAATTAACGTCTTAATATATATACTGTACTGGAAAAATCTTACACTTACATATGTATGTGCAGAAAACCTATGTCACAACGCTTTGAAGTAGTTTCGGTGTTCTAGTCCTAACCTTGTCACAAGCCAATTGCATGGAAAATATTATTCTCATTAGAATTTTTTATATTTGAATAAATTGGAGGAAGAAAAAGGAAAAGAAAAAAAAAATTATAATTTTTTTTTTAGAGTTACTCGATATCTGTCACATTGATATTGAATAAAATATAAAGTTAAAAAAAAAATAAGGTGTGTTTGGTTCATGAGTTTACGCACCAGGAATGAGAATCAAAATTATAGTTCGTGTTTAGTTGATAACTTTTTAAAACACAACTATGTGATTTAATTACCCCTTCAATTAAAACCGCATTCCTTAATTAAAAAAACGGGTATCATTCCATCTTATTGATAATATGATTTTTAAATTTGGATCAATGCTTTTAGATTTAATTTTTGTTTTGATTTTTTTGTTCATATTGGTGCTATAATTTGAATGGCATTATATTAGGATCAATTGTCTTAATTTTTTTAATTTTTTTTTTTTATTTTTAAAACCTTTATTCCATTATAGGGT